AAAGAGGTGTCTGAAGAAATTTCACAAATGAAAAATAATAAAGCTCCAGGCCCAGATGGTTTTCCAGCGGAGTTCTATAAGAAGTGTTGGCACATCATTAAGGGGGACTTGCTCCCGATGTTCCGGGATCTTTTCTTGGGGCAGTTGTAGTTGTTTCACTTGAACTTCGGAATGATTACTTCTCTTCCTAAGAAAACTGAGGCCATGAGGACTGAGCAATTTAGGCCAATCTGCCTGCTTAATGTTAGCTTTAAAATCTTCACCAAAGTTGGGACTAATAAGCTCACACAGATTGCGTATTCTGTGGTGTAGCCGTCTCAAACTGCTTTCATGCCGGACAGAAACATCCTAGAAGGGGTTGTGGTCTTACATGAAACGCTCAATTAAATCCACACGGAAAAACTCGATGGGGTGGTTTTCAAAGTGGATTTTGAGAAAGTGTACGACAAGGTAAAATGGCCATTTCTTCAGCAGGCCTTGCGTATGAAAGGTTTCGACCAGGTCTGGAGGGACCAGGTAGAATCATTCACGCAAAAAGGGAGTGTGGGAATCAGTGTAAATATGACATAGGTCATTATTTCCAGACACACAAGGGTCTGAGACAAGGAGATCCGATGTCTTCGATTCTGTTCAACATAGTCGTTGACATGTTGACAATCCTAATATGCAGGGCTAAGGATGATGGCCAGGTAGGTGGCCTCATTCCGCATTTAGTGGACGGAGGAGTGTCTATCCTACAATACGCTGATGACACTATCATCTTCATGGAGCATGATTTGGCTAAAGCTAGAAACATGAAGCTGGTGTTGTGCTTGTTCGAACAATTATCGGGGTTAAAGGTTAACTTCCATAAAAGTGAATTGTTTTGCTTTGGAAGAGCTAAAGATGAAAAACAAGCTTACAAGGAATTGTTCGGCTGCGAATTGGGGTCTTTACCCTTCACGTATTTGGGTATACCAATCCACCATCACAAGCTTTCCAACAAGGAGTGGAAGTGCATTGAAGATTGATTTGAAAAAAAAACTGAGCTGCTGGAAGGGCAAGCTTATGTCATACGGAGGACGATTGATTCTGATCAATTCGGTTCTCACAAGTATGCCTATGTTTCTCTTGTCCTTTTTTGAAGTACCAGTTGGAGTACGGAAAAGGCTAGATTTCTATCGATCGCGCTTCTTCTGGCAGAGTGGTGAATTAAAACATAAGTACAGACTCGCTAAGTGAGATATCATTTGTAGGCCGAAAGATCAAGGGGGTATGGGCATTGAAAATTTAGAGGTGAAGAACATATGTCTTCTCAGCAAGTGGTTGTATAAGTTATCTATAGAGACGTATGCCACTTGGGCTCAGATTCTTCGTAATAAGTACCTTCAATCCAAAACCTTGTCCCAGGTGACGGTAAGACCGACTGGTTCGCCTTTTTGGAAGGGACTGGTGAGAGTGAAATCAGTCTTTTTCAACAGGACAAAATTTGTGGTTGGAAATGGTACTTCTACAAGATTCTGGGAGGATACATGGCTAGGGGAGACGCCCCTGACGTTCCAATATCCTTCTCTCTATAATATTGTTCAGCAAAGAGACGCTTACGTTGCAACAGTACTACAGTCCAATCCTCTGAATGTTCAATTCAGGAGGACGCTAGCGGGACACTGTTGGGAAGCATGGCTCCATCTGGTGAGAAGATTGATGGATGTCCACCTATCTCAACAACCCGATCAGTTGCGCTGGAAATTAACTAAGAGTGGTGAGTTTTCGGTTAAATCCATGTATTTGGATATTATCAATACTAGTGTTCTTCCTAGTTTGAGACATGTTTGGAAAGTCAAAGTGCCTTTAAAAATCAAAGTGTTCGTGTGGTTTGTCCACAAGCAAGTTATTCTAGCTAAGGACAATTTGGCGAAGCGCAACTGGACTGGATCTAAACGATGTAGTTTTTGTGATAGTGATGAATCAATCAAACACCTCTTTCTTGACTGCCCATTGGCAAAACATTTGTGGAGGTCGGTCCACATAGCTTTTAATATTACTCTTCCAAATTCCATCAACACGTTATTTGGGACGTGGTTAGATGGGATTGATGCAGAAACCGCGAGACACATCCGTGTAGGAATTTGTGCTTTATTATGGGCAGTTTGGAACTGCAGAAACGACCTGATTTTTAGCAGAACAACAAATATTCATTTCTTTCAGGTTATTTTCAGGGCCACTACACTCATCCGTATGTGGTCGCTACTCACTCCGGCGGAGGCCAGGGAGCATTTGGTTACTGGATCTATCCGATGGGAGATTGCAGCACGGGATATATTCAACCGGTTTGGATGGCGGTCATGTAATAGGATAGGGGTTTAGTTTCCTATATTTTATTTTGCCGGCCGGTTGTGGCTATCCTGTTCTTGCTTTCAGGCTGTTAGTGAGCATTTTTCATTGTTGTTTGAGAACTCGAGACTTGTGTTGGATCTTTTTGGTTATCAATAATATGGTCGTATGCATCATTCTGATGCAGAGGCCGGGGCAAACCCCCTTTTTGAAAGAAAAAAACATCGTTGATGTGAATAGTGTGCATGATGAGAGAATAGGGAGTAGTGGGGAGCAACTTTTTAAGAATGGTAGATGTGTAATTCCTTATGCAGTGCAAATTACACCTTTTTGTTACATAGAGTAGTACTACCAGCTTTTTTTCCTTTTGAATGTAGCCTTTTATATGTTCATCTTCTTTTCTCTCTTGAAACATTTTACACTAATTTCCCCTTACTGTTGAAGCAAAGCACTTAACTATGGCAGCAAACATACGTACAATACAAAATTAACTACTAAAAATTCGCCTCTCATGGTTGTACCTGACCAGGGATGAGAAGCCACAAAATCCAATAAAGGCGAGCCTCGGGATGCCTAGCTCCCTTGCGATGTCACCTGGCCATCGCCACTGCGGGCGGGGGTCATGGCCAGCATTGGTTGTGGCAGCGGAAGTGACACCTTGAATATACCACAATCTGCAATGCAATGGCAACTATAGTGTACTATAGCACCCGATGACAGCCGCACATGCTGACACGTCGGTCATGATCTGGTGGATGAAGCTTCTTCGGTTCTGAATCGTGGGAAAGGCGGTGTCCGGGCGGTCGGCTTGAGAAATGGATGGCTCAGATCAATCCCCGCGACTGCCTGCCACACTCGATGTTTATAGCCAGTTCAATTCTGCCAGTGATGCAGCTTGGCTTGCCTGCATTATTCCCGTATGGAAGATTCAATGTAACTGTGACAACCATATTACTTTCTTGGACGGCATGTTCGAGCCAAAGATTAAGGCTGCTTTCGGCAGTCCACCGCTCCTTCAAATCCTAGAATCTACGGAGCAGCGGTTAGCTCGCTCCAGGCATTATAACTCCAGCTCCGTCCGCTCTGGGAGCGGAGCGGAGCGGAGCGGAGGGACACCGAACGCGCCCTAAGCCTAGATGCTTCGTGCCACATTCGGTATCCTGACGTTTGGCTGCTTGAGATGCTGATCTTGCAACATATGGTTCTACTCTACTTGCTTGTCAATCCATAGCCAATTGAGTGATTGTGCCAATGATGTGCGTGTCTTGCCTGCATTATTATTTGTGCATGAAGATTCAACGGAATTCTCATGTCCCTCTCTCGACGCATGTACGAGTCAAAGAACAAAGATCACTTGATATGGTCAAGCTTCTGCAGGTAAAATGTTGGCATCAATCAATCTGGGGAAGAGAAGTCCATTTCTGGAGCGACTTTCTCCATTATTGGAATCTTAGAGCAATGGATCAACTCTGCCCTCTAGACTGGACTGAGATCCGGTGATTTGCCGTGAGCGAGTCACAGGTGAACAGTACGGTGCCTTGCTCCCCTCTCCACATCGTCTGATCAAAAATCTATGGACAGATTCGTGTGAACAGCTGAAAGGTACAGTGTATGAGCTACAGGATATGCTACATGGATTATGCTACAGGAATCCGGCTACAGTGACCCGACTACAGTGCATGCGCTACAGGAATTCACCTGCTGTTTTGTTGTTCATACAGATCTGTCCATAGATTTTTGATCTGACGGTGTAGAGAGGGGAGCAAGGCACTGTACTGTTCACCGGTGACTCGCCCACAGCAAATCACCGGATCTCAGTCCCTCTAGACTAGTCTCCTTCAGTGCTCATTGTTTTCCTCACGTTGGAAAAAACTGGTGTTGCTTAGGCTTTAAGAGAAAGCCTCTTTGCTTTCTTTTTGTACATATTGTTCTACGGTTTCGAGGTAAAAACAAAAGGACTAGGGAGTACATACAGAACCACACACCCAAGCGAGTGTTGTGTTTCTCTCCGTGCTCATCGATCTGTCATGTACCTGGCCAACAAAAAATAATCCTTCGCATGCTATACTACTCCCTTCAAAATAAATGTCTCAACTTTATACTAGCTTTAGTACAAATTTGTACTAAGCACAAGATACTTATTTTGGGATGGAGGAAGTACAATTTATACATTTGTTGCCCAAATTATACAAGTGCACGTGCACGATAGAGTTCCATAACAACTAGTACTAGTATATCTTCGCAATGCCTAAAATCCTAGCTTTGCAATCCGATAATGAGTTATACAGCTGAGGACTGTAGTGACAATGCAGCACCGGCTTGGATCTTCTCGCCGTCGTTGCTTCGGAGCTCTGCCGCCGCGAAAGGAAGGGTCATCGAGCTTGCGTCCCTCTCGTGGCTCCATTTCTCGACAGCTCCGAGACGTAGCGGATCATGTCCGTCAGGTCGGAGTACGACGACCCGCCTTCCTCCATGGCCGCTCTCGCCTTCGCGGCGACCTCCTTGGCTCTGGACCTCCTCGACGTCCCCTCGGGCCCGCCGTCCATCAGCTCGGCAATGGCCTTCTCCACGTCGCCGCTCGGCACCTGGACGCCCTCGGCCTCCTCGGGGACGTTCTTGGCGGGCACCTTGACGCCGGACCTGACGCCTACGCGGAGCACGTCCACGAGCAGCCGCTCGCTGCAGAACTAGTCGGCGAAGCAGGGCCACGTCAGCACCGGCATGCTGTGGGAGATGGCCTCCAGCGTGGCGTTCCAGCCGCAGTGCGTGAGGAAGCCGCCCACCACCGGGTGCGACAGGATGGTCACCTGCGGCGCCCACCCGCGCACGACTAGGCCCCTGTCCTCGACGCGCGACTCGAACCCCTCGTCGTCGAGCAGCGCCTTCACGCCGACGTCGGCCTTGGCCCTTTTGATGGCCCAGACGAACGGCCGCCCCGACGCCTCGAGGCCGCGCGCAAGCTCGGCGAGCTGCTTCCCTGGCAGCTGCGCGATGCTGCCGAAGCTGACGTACAGCACGGACGCCGGTCGCCCGGCGTCGAGCCATGAGACGACGTGGCCGACATCGACGTCCGCGCGGTTGCCGCGGCCGGCCATGGCGTCGGCTTCCGTGTCCAAGATGCCGGAGGCACACGTCGGACCGATGGCCCACGTCCTCTTGCCGAGCGCCGCCGCGTACGCGTCGACGAAGATGCCCTCAACGCCGCGGAACGTGTTGATCAGAAGGCCGTCAGCGGTGGCCTCGGCATCGAGAATGTCGCGCTGCTCCTTCTCCACGCCGGGGTGCTGGAAGAAGCACCGGAACGTGGCCGTGTTCCCGACGGCGTGCACCGGGAAGTCCGGCACCTCGAACGGCTCCATCTCGTCGTCGCGGACGCGGTCGTACACGCCGTGCGTGGACAGGTTGTGCACGGCCAGGAGGAAATAGGCGGACGGGCAGTGTAGCACCAGCCTCGGGATGCCGAGCGCCGTGCAAATGCCCGCCGTCCACGGGTTGCACATGTCGGCGACGAGGCAGTCCGGCCGGCGCGGCAGCGCACGGACGTACCCCTGCAACGGCTCCGCCATCTTCCAGATGGCCTGGAAGAAGGCGAGGTACATGGCACTGCTGACGTCGTCGAGCAGCTGGTCGAGGTTCTCCAGCCCCTCCGGCAGCCCCAGCTGCGGTCCGGGAAAGGGGAGCTCCGCGAGCTCGACGGCGAGGCCCGCTCTCCGGGCGCTGTCGACGGTGACCCTGTTCCGCGCGCCGTTGACAGGCGTGGTGACGACGGTGACGCGCGGCCCCCGCGCGGCGAGGAGACGCGCCAGGTCCACCATGGGGATGATGTGGCCTTGCGCCACCAGCGGTACCAGCAAGAAGTGTAGCTCCGACGCCGCCATGTCTTCCCGCTCTACGCACTGGTCAACAATGGCGGCAGCAACGGCGAGCGGTTCAGGCTTATCCATCGAGCTGGACAGTGTGAGGCGTCCGGCACGACCGATGTCGAGGAGGACATTGCGTGTATCCCATGAACTGCCTAGAATTCTTTGGGTTTCAAACACCGACAACACTGGTGCGCCCCGCCCATCTCTCCCTCTCCCCCTCTCCCCCCTTATCTCTTCCCCCTTCGTGTTGCTCTTGGATCGTTTTCTTTTGCTCTCAACAATCCGAATGATATCTTTCTTTTTATAAAAAAACTGTAAGAGAACCCCTACAGTATAATTGATGCAACAAACAAAAATTACAAATACCATGCCTTAAATCTAGATGGGTAAGAAGGCATCAGCTCTTCCCACCATCTTTCTTGATCAACCATGGTGACTCCATGGCTGTAGCTAAGTGCTTGTTCGTGTATCTCAATCTCTCAGATACAGAGCAATACCACACCCGGGGTAATCTATTAATTACACTGTGGTCTCTAATTAAACAAAATAAGTATGGGCTGATTAGAAATAACTTATAATCATACTGTAAAAGTCCCAGAGAAACACCACGTTACAAATAAATAAATAAAAACACAACATCATCTCCCTCACAAGCGAAAACAAATATCCCCTTAGCTTCAAAATATAAGTTGACACGCGGCCCGTCACGCGCCTCAAACCAATCTTAAATGTCGGGCGGGCAGACCGGTCACTTACAGGTCAAAATAAAACAGGCTTAGTCCGGCGTCTCAAACTGGTCTCAAACGCTTGGTATGTCCAACGCCCATCATATCTACCCAATTGTAGGGTGGGTACAGGGCGGCCTGGTCGCGCCCGGCGCGTCCGCCACGTCAACCCGGCCCACCATCGGCCCACTCCGTCCAAAAGAAGAAAACAATCCAAACCCAAGCTCACTTCATTCTCCTCTATCGCCCCATCCCCTCTCTCCCCCCTTCCCCTTGATTTCTCAGATTTGGATCGAATCCGACAACCCAGCAAGGTGTCGAGCTCCGGCAATCGCTCCGACTCCGACGTCGACGAGGAGCTGGCCCTCTGTCGTGGTACTAATGTTGGAAATATGCCCTAGAGGCAATAATAAAAGGATTATTATTATATTTCATTGTTCATGATAATTGTCTTTTATTCATGCTATAATTGTATTATCCGGAAATCGTAATACACGTGTGAATACATAGACCACAATATGTCCCTAGTGAGCCTCTAGTTTACTAGATCGTTGATCAACAGATAGTCATGGTTTCCTGACTATGGACATTAGATGTCATTGATAACGGGATCACATCATTAGGAGAATGATGTGATGGACAAGACTCAATCCTAAGCATAGCACAAGATCGTGTAGTTCGCTTTGCTAGAGTTTTTCCAATGTCAAGTATCTTTTCCTTAGACCATGAGATCGTGTAACTCCCAGATATCGTAGGAGTGCTTTGGATGTACCAAACGTCACAACGTAATTGGGTGACTATAAAAGTGCACTACATGTATCTCCGAAAGTGTCTGTTGGGTTGACACGGATTGAGACTGGGATTTGTCACTCCGTATGACGGAGAGGTATCTCTGGGCCCACTCGGTAATGCATCATCATAATGAGCTCAAAGTGACCAAGTGTCTGGTCACGGGATCATGCATTATGATACGAGTAAAGTGACTTGCCGGTAACGAGATTGAACGAGGTATTGGGATACCAACGATCGAATCTCGGGCAAGTAACGTACCGATTGACAAAGGGAATTGTATACGGGGTTGCTTAAATCCTCGACATCGTGGTTCATCCGATGAGATCATCAAGGACTATGTAGGAGCCAACATGGGTATCCAGATCCCGCTGTTGGTTATTGATCAGAGAGCCATCTCGGTCATGTCTACATGTCTCCCGAACCCGTAGGGTCTACACACTTAAGGTTCGGTGACGCTAGGGTTGTATGAATATGAGTATGCAGCAAACCGAAAGTTGTTCGGAGTCCCGGATGAGATCCCGGATGTCACGAGGAGTTCCGGAATGGTCCGGAGGTAAAGAATTATATATGGGAAGTGCAGTTTCGGTCATCGGGAGAGTTTTGGGGGTCACCGGTATTGTACCGGGACCACCAAAAGGGTCCCGGGGGTCCACCGGGTGGGGCCACCTATCGCGGAGGGCCCCATGGGCTGAAGTGGGAGGGGAACCAGCCCCTAGTGGGCTGGTGCGCACCCCCTGGGCCCCCCTTTGTGCCTAGGGTTGGGAACCCTAGGGGAGGGGGCGCCTCCACTTGCCTTGGGGGGCACTCCACCCCCCTTGGCCGCCGCCCCCCTAGAGATCCCATCTCTAGGGCCGGCGCGCCCCCTGGGGGTCCCTATATAAAGAGGGGGTGGGAGGGCAGCCGCACCCAACACCCTGGCGCCTCCCTCCCCTCCCTGCTACACCTTCTCCTCCTGTAGTCGCTTGGCGAAGCCCTGCCGGAGCCCTGCTGCATCCACCACCACGTCGTCGTGCTGCTGGATCTTCATCAACCTCTCCTTCCCCCTTGCTGGATCAAGAAGGAGGAGACGTCACGCTGACCGTACGTGTGTTGAACGTGGAGGTGCCGTCCGTTCGGCGCTAGGATCTCCGGTGATTTGGATCACGACGAGAACGATTCCCTCAACCCCGTTCTCTTGAACGCTTCCGCACGCAATCTACAAGGGTATGTAGATGCACTCCTCTCTCTCGTTGCTAGATGAACTCATAGATTGATCTTGGTGAACGTAGGAAATTTTTTATTTTATGCAACGTTCCCCAACAGTGGCATCATGAGCTAGGTCTATGCGTAGTTCTCTATTGCACGAGTAGAACACAAATCTGTTGTGGGCGTAGATCTTGTCAACTTGCTTGCCACTACTAGTCTTATTTTGCTTCAGCGGTATTGTGGGATGAAGCGGCCCGGACCGACCTTACACGTACGCTTACGTGAGACAGGTTCCACCGACTGACATGCACTAGTTGCATAAGGTGGCTAGCGGGTGTCTGTTTCTCCCACTTTAGTTGGAGCGGATTCGATGAAAAGGGTCCTTATGAAGGGTAAATAGAATTTGACAAAATCACGTTGTTGTTATTCGTAGGTAAGAAAACATTCTTGCTAGAACCCAATTGCAGCCACGTAAAAGATGCAACAACAATTAGAGGACATCTAACTTATTTTTGCAGCAATTGCTATGTGATGTGATATGGCCAAAAGTTGTGATGAATGATGAATGATGTATTGTGATGTATGAGATCATGTTCTTGTACTAGGAATCACGACTTGCATGTCGATGAGTATGACAACCGGCAGGAGCCATAGGAGTTGTCTTAATTACTGTATGACCTGCGTGTCAATGATTTAACGCCATGTAATTACTTTACTTTATTGCTAAACCGTTAGCCATAGTAGTAGAAGTAATAGTTTGTGAGCAACTTCATGGAGACACGATGATGGAGATCATGATGATGGAGATCATGGTGTCATGCCGGTGACGAAGATGATCATGGAGCCTCGAAGATGGAGATCAAAGGAGCTATATGATATTGGCCATATCATGTCACTACTATATAATTGCATGTGATGTTTATTATGATTATGCATCTTGTTTACTTAGAACGACGGTAGTAAATAAGATGATCCCTTATAATAATTTCAAGAAAGTGTTCCCCCTAACTGTGCGTCGTTGCTAAAGTTCGTCGTTTCGAAGCACCACGTGATGATCGGGTGTGATAGATCCTTACGTTCACATACAACGGGTGTAAGACAGTTTTACACATGCAAAAACACTTAGGGTTAACTTGACGAGCCTAGCATGTACAGACATGGCCTCGGAACACAGAGACCGAAAGGTCTAACATGAGTCGTATGGAAGATACGATCAACATGGAGATGTTCACCGATGATGACTAGTCCATCTCACGTGATGATCGGACACGGCCTAGTCGACTCGGATCATGTAACACTTAGATGACTAGAGGGATGTCAAATCTGAGTGGGAGTTCATTAAATAATTTGATTAGATGAACTTAATTATCATGAACTTAGTCTAAAATCTTTGCAAAATATGTCTTGTAGATCAAATGGCCAACGCTCATGTCAACATGAACTTCAACGCGTTCCTAGAGAAAACCAAGCTAAAAGATGATGGCAGCAACTATTCGGACTGGGTTCGGAACCTGAGGATCATCCTCATAGCTGCCAAGAAAGCATATGTCCTAGAAGGACCGCTAGGTGAAGCACCCATCCCAGAGAACCAAGACGTTATGAACGCTTGGCAGTCACGTGCTGATGATTACTCCCTCGTTCAGTGCGGCATACTTTACAACTTAGAACCGGGGCTCCAAAAGCATTTTGAGCGACACGGAGCATATGAGATGTTCGAGGAGCTGAAAATGGTTTTCCAAGCTCATGCCCCGGTCAAGAGATATGAGGTCTCCGACAAGTTCTATAGTTGTAAGATGGAGGAAAACAGTTCTGTCAGTGAGTACATACTCAAAATGTCTGGGTTGCACAACCGCCTGTCCCAGCTGGACATTAACCTCCCGGACGAGGCAGTCATTGACAGAATCCTTCAGTCGCTCCCACCGAGCTACAAGAGCTTTGTGATGAACTACAATATGCAGGGGATGGTGAAAACTATTCCTGAAGTATTTTCAATGCTAAAGTCAGCAGAGGTAGAAATCAAGAAAGAACATCAAGTGTTGATGGTCAATAAAACCACCAAGTTCAAGAAGGGCAAGGGTAAGAAGAACTTCAAGAAGGACGGCAAAGCTGTTGCCGCGCCCGGTAAGCCAGTTGCCGGGAAGAAGTCAAAGAATGGAACCAAGCCTGAGACTGAGTGCTTTTATTGCAAAGGGAAGGGTCACTGGAAGCGGAACTGCCCCAAATACTTAGCGGACAAGAAGGCCGGCAACACTAAAGGTATATTTGATATACATGTAATTGATGTGTACCTTACCAGTACTCGTAGTAACTCCTGGGTATTTGATACCGGTGTCGTTGCTCATATTTGTAACTCACAGCAGGAGCTGCGGAATAAGCGGA